ACACCGGGTGTAAACTCTTCAACATTTGCCTTGGTTCTCATAAGCAAACTAAGGAACTGTCAAATCAATCCCTAGCCAGTCTCAAGGGAAATGCAGAAAAAAGGCAAGGGCCATACAGTAATTTTTCATGCTCAGTTACATACCTGTGCATATAAAGAACATAAACAACCTCGCAGACGTGATCTCATTTTCCCAAGACTGTCCTAATCTCTTCTAGTTTTTTTTTTTTTTCATCTTTAGCCATTTTAGAGCAAGTTGGGGTAATGACTTAAGACAGAAAAAAAATAGCTATTATGATTATGATATAAATCTATGATTTCTTTCATAGTTATGCTGCTTTGGTATGGGTAGCCCATTACCTTTTTTATGGAACTAAGAGGTACAATTTTTTGAAATCTGTGTAGGAAGCACATGATAGAGCAAATTCATGGTCATTAATAACTAGCAATTAGGCTAATATTGATCCATGGACTAGTTTAGTATCTCTGGTAAAAATAATGATGATCTACTTTTCTCAATGAAATGTTTTTCTTCCACAGTACCCAAGCAACAGGTGCCCTCTCCCATATGATAGGTTATATTATTGTTTCAGGCAAATTTTAAAATACCTAGATAAATAAATAAAAACTCTGATATAAAATTCTCTCACATTTGTCTAGCTCTCAGTTTTATACTACTTTCTGGAGATGAACACGACACATAACATACAGTTATTTAGAATTCCCAAAATAAAAATTTCAAAAATCATCTGAGAGCCAAAAAGCTTTTCTGAACCTCAATTAAATAGTATGGTGACTGGGGGCCAAGAATTTGACCCCTCTGCTGTTTTGACTGATTTCTCTCATCCTCAGTTTCCTTGTTTCTGGAAGAATAAGAATAAATTGGGGGATCTCTAAGTGCCTTTTAGGTCCAATAAACTGTAGTTATCCCTTTTATCAAACATTAAAAAAAACGGAAAAGTTTCTAATCATTGCAGAAAACTGAGAAAATACAGAGAAGCAGAAAGAAAAAAATTAAGAACTGAACATTTTACTACTGAAAGTTGACTGCTTTAAAGTTTATGACTGTTAGCATTATGGAGAGTTAGATTTCAGTTTTCTCTATCATTATCCACATTTTTAAAACAAGGATAATGTTATCTAATTACTCTGTATAATGTTTTTTAAAGGTATAATTTGTGGAGCATGTCTTAGGGAAGTTCTTGACACTGTCCTGCTGTCTTGTCACTGTTCAAAGCACTTTACACATAATTTCGCACACAGAGTGAGCTCTGAGGTAGGTACCGCTACCCTCATTTGACTGATGACAACACAGCATAGTGAGGTTGTTCAACTGATGTTCAAGGTCACATCCCTGATAAATGGTGGGGCTGGATTCCACTCTGGGAACCCGGCTTACCTCCACACTACCCTGCTCTACATTTCAGTCATTGATCTCAGGTGTAGGAAGGCGTGAGGCATGTGAAGAGTTGAGGAAAAAGGAACAGCAAGGACAAAACCCTTGCAGAACCTCAGTGTGTTAGGGATTAGGACCTAAAGAGTGTTAGTGGTATCATCATGGGACACATCGCCCTTGATTTCCAGCTGGAACGTGGGTCGACAGGAGTTGTCCACTGTTCACTTTTTTCTGACTCACTGTAACCTTTGGGACTGGAAACAATTCCAGTCTAGATTGCTTAGCTGAAACTCCAGGAAAAAAAAAAATAACCTGAATATTGAGGATATCTAGTTCTTTAAGCTACATTTGTCTACATCTGCACTTTGTCAGGGAACTTCCCAGTGAGTTTCCCTGATGACTCAGACGGTAAAGCGTCTGCCTACAATGCGGGAGACCTGGGTTCAATCCCTGGATTGGGAAGACCTCCTGGAGAAGGAAATGGCAACTCACTCCAGTACTCTTGCCTGGAAAATCCCATGGACAGAGGAACCTGGTAGGCTACAGTCCATGGGGTCGCAAAGAGTCGGGACACGACAGAGCGACTTCACTTTCACTTTTCAGTTCTTTACGATACATCTGTCTCCATCTGCACTTCGTCAGGGAAATGGTCAGCCACGTCAGTTAGCGCAGTGCAGGCAACAAGCTCCCTTGCCTCACTTATTCATATATCAGAGACGGAAGGAGGATATGAAATTCTGAGTGAGCTTCAGTTACTAAGATGCTTGTGCAAACTCCATACTCACCTTGTGCTTACCAGTCTAATATACAGTCACTAACTACCAGAATGTGCAGAATGATAATTTCATTGATTTTACTCTCACAGCATACATTTTCACAAGAATGTCATCTTTACTTTGCAATCTTTTTTTGATTTATATTTTCCCTTTTCTCTTACCTCCACAAAAGAGGTAATGAAACAATCTATTTTGTGCCTAGTAATGCAGTTTGAGTACCCATTTTATGTACTGCTGTCTAAATGGGAAAGATATATTATGAATTTTCACCAACAACTCTCAAAGAAATTAGGAATGAATGGGCATTAATTGCTGAAGAATGAGATCCCTAGCTTGCTAATTTTGTGATAAAATATTCTCATAAAAAACATTTGTCACCTCTATGAAGATACACTAGGCAAGTTGAGATAAATTCAAAAGATAAGCAGAAGGCAGAGTTTGGCCAGGCTGAGGACTTTCTGTATTCCTGAACATCTGTTCCTTCTTTCTGAAGCAGCGAATCTGGGTGATATTTCTCTTGGGCTGTGTCTTAGTGTATCAGAGTCAATATTCGATTATATTGTCTCCTTGACATACCAACTGAACTGAACAGACTGGATAGACATTTTGGCATAAGTGTATTATGGGCAAAGGCCAGAGGGGCTATATTTTTAAATAACTTTGCACAAAATGTCCCTGAAACACATATGTTGAATCAGAATTTTTATCCTTAGGTCCAGAGAGACAGCACTGATAGCTTCTGAAAGAATAGATCCCTTGCCTATGTTTCTTGTTAAACTGATGAGATTTTTCAGTTTTATTTAATATAACTCAGCTCAATGCAACATATCCATTTAATATTCGCCATGTGGCAAGCACTGTGCTGGGCCCTTATACCAAACCAGATGAAAGCTGTGGTGTGAGTTTGATCACATGGCATTGGGTGGGCAGGGGAAGGCAGGCTGACAAGTAAATATGAATAGACCAGATGCATATTATGATAGAGAGATGGAATATTATGATAGAGAGACTAAGAAGCACCAAATGAACAATTCTTTCTTTTGCCAGGGGAGAATAATAAAGACTAAAATAATTCTGAATTGCTCCCTTGTAAACCCATTCAGTAAAACCATTTCAGTAAATGGCACTTCCATCCACCCAGCTGCCATGCTAGAAACCCATGTGTCATCCTTGATTTTCTATTCCACCACCTCTCACATCCCAGGTGTTAGCAAGTCCTGTCAGCTCTACCTGCAATCCAATCTGTCCTGTATCCACAACCTCCTCTTCTCTCCATGGCCACCCGCTAATTCAAGCTGCCATCAGTCAGTCGGTGACTGACTGAATTACAGCAACAGTCTTTAAGTGGACTTCCAGTTTTGACTATTGCTTTTTTAAAAGTCCACTTGCCACACAGTAGCTAAGCAATCTTTAAAAAAAAAAAAATACATAGCTCTGTTACATAAAATCCTCTATTGGCTTCTCACTGCACTTGAAATAAAATCCAGTCTCCAACATCAACTTAAACCACCCTCTACACCGGTCATTATGCTCCATGAGGCTCATATTCTCTTTGCTCTCTGAACATGCCAGTAATTTTATTTCTAGGCCTCAGGGCCTTTGCACATGATGTTAACTCAGTCTGGAATGCTCCTCCCTCTGACTTTCACAGGACAGACTTCTTATCATTCGGGCATCAGTTCATGTCACCCCCTCAGAAGGTTTTGCATGACAACCCTATCTAAATAAATCATTCCGCTCCCACAGAGGCTCTGTGTCAGCATACTCCTTTATTTATTGCTATCTAAAATAACTGCATTTGGCATTTTGTTTAGGTTTATTTGTTTGTTTTTACCTAAATCCTTTGCAGAATTTAAATGCCATGAGGAGGGGTTTTTGGTTTTTGCTCACTGGCTCCCAGAGTAGTGCTGTCACATAGCAAGTGCTAAATAAATGTATGTTAAATACATGAAGAAGTAATTGAATGACTGAAATCTGTATTATTTGCCCCCAAATTCCACAGTTTGGTCTATGCTTTAAGGATGCTCATACTTTCTCTGCAGAGTTGATTTGAGAAGGCACCTGATATAGCACAGTTGGGTGGAACAGGTGAGACAGAGATGATCTCCCAGAGAAAGCAATATATTTGAAGAAGCTGCAAGGATCAGTGTAAGCTAGTCAAGGGACCAAGAGAATGAAGAGTATTTCAAGCCAAGGGAACAGAATACATAAAAAGACTCACAGTGGGGAAAAGGCATGATGTTATTAAAGTCTGGCATACAAATTGGTAAGACTGTCTTCAAAAAGCACATGATGAATCACCATACACTGTCATGTCATCCATCTGAGTAAGTAAGGTGAAATTCATCTATTTTCTTGAAATATTCTCACAAAAATGTGGGACCATAAAGCTACCTCCAGTAGGACTTGACATTTCTGCATTTTACTGTGGTTGGAACTATATCTTCAATACCACACACCCAGAAATTATTTGGATAACGTAAAACTTCTTTCCAGACACTGAAAACTAAATTATACAGAGTTGACTGATAAGCTAATTGATCAACCTTCTACTTCATTTTGTCTGTGTACACAATTAAGTGTGAAGAAACAGACTCACATTGCATTGAGGCTGAAATTAGAAATTATATTTCTAGTAAGTCTTGCAAAATGGATTCACGGGTTTACTTCTTACACAAGCGTAGAAAATATAGGTAGTGAATGTAAAAGCATTCAACTTTTCTTAAATGTAATTGAGATAGTCAAGCTTTGCATGCCAATAACATAGCTCCCCAAACTCAACCTATGAGCACAAAAAACAGAATTCTGAAAATCTCTTAGAAAACTCACCATCGTTTCTCAATATCAGTGGTGTGGGTGGTCCCAGGACTTTTTGGTTTGTCACTGTATTTGTAACCACACAAGTATAATTTCCAACATCTGATTTTTCTACTTTGGCAATATATAGATTCCCAGTCTCTTGAGAAACGAAGCGGCGATTATCCTGATAGGAGGGGTATTCATTGAAAATCCAGGCATAGCTGAGCTCTGAAAGCAAAAGGAATCATCATTATAAATGTGTCTTTTATAAGAACTTTACTGTATTCATGAAAGAACTGGTCAAGTTAAAAATTCATACTGTTGCCCAACGATCCTTTTTCAGCCTGCTAAATATCAACAGGAAGTAATAACAGTCCCCTAAAGCATTTTTACCAGTCTTCCCACCATTAGTCAATAAGATTTTATTTCTATAGAACTAGAAGGTACACTGACCACTGACAGAGAAGTCCAATCTCTTTAAATCAAGGAATAAGCATTATAGTTCACTAAGCATGGCTAAGCACCATATAATACTTACAGAGCTAAAGCTCAAGCTACAGACGCAGAGTCCACAATCTTGATATACCCTGGAAACTACTTATATCACTCCTTTCATCTTAGAGGCAATAATCATAATAGTATATCATGGTGCAACATACTTACACAGCACTTTATGGTTTCCAGTATAGTTTATAGTTTTCCATTAACTGAGAAATTCTGACACAGAGGATCAGACTGTCTAATCCAAACTCAGCCACAGCTAGAGACAGAGGCAGAATAATTCCTGATTCTCAATCCAGTCTTTTCCCAGTGCCTCTTACTACTGATGCATATTCTTACTCCTTTTGCACTTGTGATGTTGAATTCTTTTCCCATTATTTTAGTGAGATGGTGATTTAATATTGTAGCAAATACTCATTAAATATAATACAATGATTAGTTGGCTGGTCCCATAAATGAAAATCTGCATTTTTAACACATTATTGACTAGAAATGTATTACAGCCATAGGCATTAGTCTGAAACAATCCCCTGATCAGTAATGTGTTAAAAAAATTAGCTGAAAAAATTATTACATCTGTATAAAGTAGCCATCAAAGAGCAACCTTTTCACAAATACTTATCCATCCCACAATGCCAATGGGAGGAGTGTAATAGGCAGTCATACTTAAAATGTTCCTTTGAAAATTCTCATTTTTTCTGGAGAATTAGGTGAATGTTTTGTGAATGAGCACATTAACCCATGCTTTCAATTTCAGAAAAGAAACCTAAGCGACAGCGAGTTTAAATGATTTGCTACAGTGAACTATTGTGCTCTGAGGAAATCAAACTTCTTTAGCTCCAGGCATTTCATGATTCCTCTCTTTAAAGTGTGATCTTCAGATTTGTTCGAAGCTGGAGAAGTGATATAGCAGCCATGGGCACTGATTAGCCAACATGCCCTGTTTTACTTTCTCAAGTTATTTTAGGCAGGATGGGGAGCAACTAGATGCAAAGGGAGCCTGTGGTTTCCTAACTAGCTGACTGAGCTCTTCTGTGCTGCTCTTCAATATGATCCTGGGCTAAATTCTAAATGCATGGATTGTCCTTGGAAAATGGCAGAAAGGTCACTTCAGCTTTGTACACAGAATGCTAATTATTGGAAAAGGCACTTTGCTGTTTAATACTTCAACGAGTCCTCAGCTGTAATTGACCTCGATAACTGAATGTGTGACTGGGTACATATTCCATCTTAATGATCCACTGTTTACATACGAAGGAGGAGGTCATGTAGATTGCTTTCCCTTTATGGCTGGATTACAACATTTCTTCATGCATTATTTTACAGAGATACAATTAGGTTTATATGAGAATAGCTAATCATTTTATTTATGCATATGCATATAATTATAAGTAACCCCATGTTGATGTCAAGAGGATACTCACTGTAAATAAGCAAGCTCTTCCCAGCAAGCTGGTTACTTTCTCAAGAAACTACAATCTAGGGGGAGGAAAGGCCCCTCTAATAGGTTGTGAAGAAGTACAATGTAATGCAGCAATTTTGCCACAAAAACAGGAGAGTCAACAAATATCACAGTGCAATGTACTCCTCTTTCAATTTGGCATGTCAGTTTCAGGCAAAGCAAGTAATCACCAAGGCTCTCAAAAATATTGTCACATAAACAGTGAAGAGAACATTGCCTATCCCGTAATTAATTATGAAAGTTTTAGGAATAAATAAACATATCCAAAGTCACAAGGTATAAGTTAGAAAGTAATTTACCAGCAAAATATTAATGAACCCATATCTCTCCAAGGAGAGTTATAATCAAATATATAAACTATACATATATATTTTTTTTTCTGAAGACATTTTTTAAAACTTCTGCTACTGAATAGTGCCACAAAACTTTCTGAATTTTGTAGAAGATGCATAGTTCAGTAACTAGGAAGTTGCAGGAACCATGGATACCAGGATAAAATACATCCACTTTGTTATTTTCCTAATTGGAATTAAAAAAAAAAAAGACCAGAAGACCAAAATTCAAAACTGTATTCCATAAAGAAAGCCATTTAAACACTCTTACTTAGTTTCAACTTAATCCAGCAAATGGAGATAATCATAAATGTGATATAGGCATGTAGTGAGGTTCAAGTTATGTGAAAGTCCTCTGAGTCATAAGCACATCTGAATCATTGAAAGTTAATCATTTTTAAAAGTAAAAATATCAAACAACAATTATCATGTTGTTTGATTATAAGAATGTTGGTTTCACTGCTTTTGTGAGTTACTACTTTAGTAGGAAATGCAAGCAACCATAAACATATTCTGCAGGAATAGAATAGAATAAAATAGAAGTTCTCTACCCCCTACCTATCTCAAATTTAAAAAGTATATGTGACCAGAAGACTTTGAGAAGAATGGGATTAAATAAAGTTTAATAGATTTAAAATTTTCTCCTTTCAGGACCTGCAAGAGACTTTTAACATGCCAATGTGCCTCAAATTTCTTAGAGACTACTAAAGTCATGCAAACTTACTTGATGTAGAAGTGCCTCCCAACTCCTTCATCCACACACTCTTTCTAAAACGTCTACTATACATCACAAAATAGAGGCTGGGAAATGCTGAACTAATGCAATTTCAACTCAAGAATAAGTATAATATAAAAATTATTAGCTCTATTACTTCTGTTCTCAGGAAAGCCATTAAGTTACATTAAACAACAGAAAACAACAAAATGTTGAATTAAAGTTGTAATAAGTTTCCCAAATTGTAATAGTAATATATTACTGTAACTATTTTCAATGCTGTGGATAAAGGAACAAACCATAGTTTGAAACACAAGTATCAAATGGATTGTGCTAAGGATCCTAACTAACATCAGTTCAACATACAACATTCATAAATACTGTTGAGTCCTAAAGTGTGAAGGTCAACCAAAGAATCTCAGCTGGTTCACTGTTGAGATCATGTTGAGCTAAATGCTGAGACCCTTCAAGGGGGAAAATTTCTAAACATGATATTAATTAATTTTTATTTATCTGCTTTTCTTCACAGCAAATAGCACTACCTGGAATACTGTAATTTTATTTGTCCATAAAAATTAGGAAAGGAAAAAACAAAAATTAGAAAGGGGCCTGAATAATATAATGTAATGATAATGCAGACATCAAAGTAGGAAAACATGTGTAGTAAGGATAAAAATTACCCAAGAGACACTTATCTCTTCATTTTAAAGATATGAAAGAAGAACAAAGCTGAAGGTATCACACTCAAAAATGTCAAACTATACTACAAAGCTGCGGTAATTAAAACAGTTTGTCATTAGCATAGAAACAGGCACATATATCAATGAAATAGAATAAAGAACCCAAATATAAACCTATACAAATACAATCAGTTAACTTACTGCAAAGGTGCCAAGAACATACCACAGGGAAGGGACAATAATTGAGTAAGTAGTGCTGGGAAAACAGCCACATGCAAAAGAATGAAACTGGATGGCTACCTTGTACAATACACAAACGTTAACTCAAAATAGATGAAAGATTTGCATTAATATCTGAAATCATAAACTCCTACACACACAAAAAATGGGCAGTAATAAGGTCCTTGACATGGGTCTTAGAGATGATTTTTTGAATTTGACACCCAAAACTAAAATAAGCAGGTGGGACTTTAAAATCAAACTAAAAAACAAATAAACAAACAAAAAAATTGCACAGTGAATGAAATCATCAATAAAATGAAAAGGCAACCTAATGAACAGAAGTGAATATTTGCAAATCATATATAAGATATAGTATTAATATTCAAAATATGAAGAACTCCTACAGCTTACCAGCATAAAAAAAAAAAAGAAAAGCTGATTAAAAAGCATGCGCAGAAGATCTGAATGGACATTTTTCCAAACAGGACATATATCAATATAGCTAATTATCAGGGGGATGCAAATTAAAACCACAATGAGATATTATCTGACACCTGTCAGACTGGTTATTATCAAAAAGACAGCAAATAACAAGCAATGGTGAGGACATAGAGAAAAGAGAAACCGTGTGCACTGTTGCTGGGAATATATATCAGAACAGCCACTAAGGGAAACAGTATGGAAATTCTTCAAAAGATTAAAATGGAACTTCCATATCATCCAGCAATTCCACTTCAGGGTATTCACCTGAAAAAAACTAAAACTCTAACTTGAAGAAATATCTGCATCCTCATGTTCACTGCAGGATCATTTAAAATAGCCAAGATACAGAAACAACCCAAGTGTCCATTGGTGGATGAAAGGATAAACAAACCATATATAAATATAACAATACACACACATACACACACATACACACACAGAGAATGGAATATTATTCAGCCATTAAAAATAATTGAATCTTGCCATTTGGAACAATGTGCATAGACCTTGAGGGCATTATGCTGAGTGAAATAAGTAAGACAAAGAAAGTCAAATCTCATATAATCTCACTTATATGTGGACTCTAAAAATTAGACCAACAAACCAAGTTGTGGGTATGAAGAACAGATTGGCAGTTGTCAGCAGAGGCTGATTGACTGGGATAAATGAGCATTTAAAAGGTAAAAAATAAACTTATAAAATCTTAAAATTCCCTAGAAATTCTAGTACCTCAGCAGAAAGATAGCTATCATTTAGAATGTATTTTCAATTCTAACCTATATGCCTGTAGGTTTTCATGATTTTAACCATAGCATAAATGTTGTTTAAAAAAA